GCCTGACACAAAATACCTGTCCATGCTTCAATAGACTGAGCTGAGTTACGCTGACACAGTAAAAGCAATGCTTAGCTAAACTTTGCCACTGTTGATTAGCTAGAATTGAAAATTGAACATATAGAGGCTCTTGTATTTATATGAACAAAAGAAGCTTAAACTAACACAGAATATGCTGTATTACACACAGTAACAACCTGGGCAATTTGATGTGTGCCAGGTTTGGGAACAGAACAAATAACGTGCAGAAGGACCTCAAATATTACTTTTACAAAAAGGTCGTATTAGCAGAGTATTTTAATGGATTAAAAATTAATAAACATAATAACAACTTGAATTTGTTCCTTAAAATTCATGGAATTTATTTCTTAAAATCATACTGAATTTTGGGATGTTCTTACAGTGAAAGACAAGAAATGGAATATGGGAAATTTGTTGCCATCAAAGGTGCACAGACAAATTTTAAGAGAATGAATTTCCAGCATTTGCATCATTAATACCAACTCATTAGATAACAGAGGAACATGTTTAGCGTCCTCATCAAGCAAGGTTCCAAAAATATTATAAAGGTGCCTTCTTGTCAAGCTCTAGAAAAACGTCTAATCAGCAGATGCAAAAAGCGTTATGAGATTGCGGCAAGCTGTATGTGCAGAAGAGATTAAACTGGGGATATATTCCTTTATATTACTGGTGAAAGCATTTGCTTGGGACTCTTCTTTTTTTTTTAACTCCACATCTATCCTGGGTTTTCAGAGGAAAAAGCAAACAAGCACTGTGTTTTGAATATAAAACTTGTTTAATTAATTAAGTGTATATACATTTCAGTAGAGCATATATTTTCAAAAAATAATAAAAAGCAAATAAATAAAAACAGATGAACCAAGACAGAGTGATATCATTCAGCTTTCATAAACCTTGACATTTTACATACTGTTTTCCATCTGGTGCCTTGTCAGAGCCAAACCAGAAGTGACACCATTCATGCAGTTAACAACTATGCAATGAGTTGTTTAAAGGTAAACAGAAATTTGATGTGTGTCGGCCTGGACCACAGAGAGGTGAAAAGGAATAAAGCCCTACCCATGTCGCAGATCTAAACTGGACCTACCAATTGATAAGTTATGTGAACACTGTCCTGTCAACTTTGGCCCTCAGATAAGAGGTAGGAAGGCGAACAGCAGAAAACATGAACCACTGCTGCTTGTAATAATACCATTCCCATTTCAATGCAACTTTCATATCCAGATGCAGTACACCTTTGATGACCAGATGGTGGCAACAAACATCAAGTGATGGCTGCTTCCATTATCCCCAACTTCTCTGAGCTTCTCTGAGGGTCAAACTACATGTCATGCCTGATGTGTTAGGATCAAAACACACAGAGAAGGTACGATTATCCCTTCTTCCCAACTGCAACCTCCTAAAATTGCCTCCCCAAAGTGGTGATGAGTCTTTATAAAAAAGAAGAAAAGGAAGTAACCTTTGATGCCAAGAAGAGCTTCTCTTCTCTTCTCTTTTTACTTTTCTTTCCCTCTTCTCTTCTCTAGGCCTCTTGGTGTAATATTGTTTTAAAAGCTTTTTCATATTTTACTGTTTGCCTGTTGTTGAACGGCACCCTGATGTTTCATGAGATGGAAGTATATAAATAAAACAGGGTGTGTGAAGGGGTGATTTTCAGAAGGATCGCAGCTGAGCAGCAAAGGGATAACCCTCCCCTCCCTGCACACTGCAATCCAGTAACAATGGGGGACATGGCTGTAACTAATCTAAGAAAGACAAAGAGACAGCTGCATGTGGTGCAGTAAGTGCATCACGCAGTTTGACCCTGAGGCACCTGGCAGGTCACTGATGGAAGCAGAAAACTGGACAACACTGACTATTTTCCATCCCAGCTTTCATCTGAACTTCTCAGAGCCCTATGAGGCAGGGACGTCAAGAGAGAGTTTCATGCCCAAGACTACCTAGCAAGCATCACAACCAAGCAGGGATCTGAGGAAGGGTTTCCTATGCCCTACTGATTCACTTAGCCACAGGGTGACCTCTCTAGAAAGTCAGTGACAGAAACACAAACCCAACTCATGTCCACTAGTCCACAATGGCAAACAGCTGGAGAATTTCACTTTCAACAGGTCTTCCACTGCAGTTCTAAAATATGAAGTTACTTACCCTTGGTCCAGCTCCCCCAATAGGTCCAGCAGGTCCTTCTTCTCCCTGAAATAAAAACAGGTTAGCCATTCTTCTCCATTCTTGAATGCTTGTTTATTTTAAGCACATGGTGTACTATTCTCTTAAACACCCAAATGGGTCTGTGTGCAGTTAAACGTGAAAAAGTTAAAAATAATAATTAATAACCAGCAGTCAGAGATCTAGAAACAGAATGGATGGAAGCCTGTGGCCTTCCAGTTGTTGTTGGACTACAACTCCCATCAGCCCCAGCCAGAGTGGCCAATTGTTAGGGCTGATGGAAGTTGTAGTCAAACAACATTTAGAAGGCAATAGGTTCTCAATCTGTATCTCACCCACCATCTAGAATTCACACACCAAGTATCTGATTGGCTATATTTACTGGAATTCCCAAGGTAAACAGATATTCATTAAACCCTATGTTGATGCTACTTATACCTGTGTTTCTGATGGTCACAATGTTAAGATATCTCCACTGTCTCCACAGCAAGTGAAATATCTTTTAACGTTAATACCTCTTAAAACTAACCTTACAAAGAAAAAAAAATGTATGCACTCAACAACTTCGTTCAATTTATTTAGGCATCCAGATCATTCTTCTTCAGAATGTGAAACTTAATTCTTCAGTATATCTGCAAGCTGCCAGATTCAGCTCATTTAAACAGTGCATAGGAATCAAAAGAAATAAATAGCACAGCGATGTGCAACAATTTCTATTCAACACCTGCCAAAACAGGTCAATATCTTTGCAAACAAAAGCAACCACATTAGTGAAAATGGAGTCCAATTTCAAGAAAAAAATGGTGTGAATTTAAGGGAACAATGAAGCTTTCTTACCTCAACACCTTTGGGGCCTGGTGGTCCTGGAGGTCCTCTGTCACCTAGAAATCCCTAAGGAACACACACACAAAATATTTAGATTAATGAATGAGCATGTTAGTCTAGACAACCCAGAAAGAGTGATGCCATAAAAGCTAAGACACTTCACTCTATTTTATTCTTTTAAGTGTTTCCTTAGGAAGCACACTTGTGACCATTTGAATTTCTTAGTAAAACTACAATATGTATACAATTATCTGCATATGCATTTCAGTTGCACAGAACAAGGCAGCTTACAGTGGGAAACTAACTGGTTATAGCGAGGGAAAGCTGATAAGCATTTCCTGCTGAAGGCACTGATCTGAATGAATCCATATTTTCCTATTTTAGGTGAGAAAGAAACTGGGGAAAGGAGTTTCGGACACAAACATAGCTCCATGGTAAGGGTCTCCAACAGTTTTGCTGTAGCAATCAAATTGATAACTCCACAAGACTGCAGTATCAATTCACTAACAGCCTGGAATGAGAGGAGTACATTGCACAATTTATTTAAAGTTGGCCTTACTCAACCACAATTCAACCATAAAATATCCAGTTGTATGCCTGATTTAAGAATCATAAAATAGCCTTTGCTATATATTCTGTATGCATTTAGTTATTAAAACGCTACTTAAATAATACACAAACAATCCACCCTCTATGGTTACCCACTACCGGAGAAACCCTGTTCCATGTTGTTTTCTGCAAGTAACTGCTCTGAGCATAAGTCCTGATCAAAAGGAGACAAGTCCAGAGATGCAAGAGACAGCTACCTCTAGACCTGGATAATTATGCTGCATTTGTGCATTGCAAACTGCTGAACAATCTAGTAATACTTGCCGGAGATATGGAAGTACTGCTACAGCAGAAACGTATAGGAATGAGGCAAGGCTGGAGCACTTAATCATACAGAGACACAAGGAGAAAGAAACCTCTTTTGATGCATTAGAAGTAACTGAGTTAGATGCCTGATTTCACCAAACGTAGATATGTGGCATGTCTGCCAGCCCCAGCTTTGGCTGACAGGAAGCAGGAAAGCCCTGAGCACTGAATCGTGCAAAAATGCAAATCTCCTCCTCCTCCAGGGATGGGTACTTGCAGGTGCCTTACTTAATTAATGTTCTTCATATAACATATCAGTTCTCTCAGAGTAGACCAGTGTGCCCCTGTGTACAATTTGGAAACTGCTGTTTTATATAATCCAACATCGCAATATAGCATAGCCAATAATGTGACTTCTTAAGGGGAAATTGTTATATTGTTTTCTATCCTGAAGTACAAGGGTTGAGGAACAAGTTCAGCACTATGAGGATGTCTGGATCTAGTGAAGCACTACTGCTTGTACAGTAAATGGCAACAGCTTTGCCATTTCATATTACACCATGACCAAGCTGTAGATGGAGGCCAGATGTTTAGCTTGGCCACTTTCACCACTATTCTGCAGGGTTACCCTAATATTCAGGGATATATTCAGAGGTAAGTCCCACCCTCACACATTTCTGATTGGGTTCAGGTGTTACAAAACTGCTCAGATAATTACACGCACAACTATAACTGTACTAAGTTACTACTCAGTAAGTGGTCAACTGCATTCACCACAGGGGAAGTCTACTTTAAAAACACTAACAGTAATTACTACAACCAGTTTTTCACGTGATTTTTCAGTATGGTAACTGGCTTACAACCTCCTTCATCAAGCTACATTTCCAAAAATTTCTCACGATAGGAAGATGTGTGATTTCAAGAAGCGTTTATAAGGCTAGAACTGAATTCAACCAATTGTTAGCTCGCCACGTTGCTTGCTCCCTTGTGCAAAGTGAACCACCTAAAACCCAGGAATGTTCACTGAGAAACACAATGATGGCATGAGCGGTGCTGGCCCGTCTGGGTCTGTATTGTCTACCTTGATTGGCAGCGGCTCTCCAGAGTTTCAGACAGAGAACATCCCCATCCCTACATGGAGATGCCAGAGATTGAACCAGAGTCCTTCTGCATGCAAAGCAGTTGCTCTGCCACTGAGACACAGTCCTTCTCTTCATAGGCAGGGCAGTTGTCTAAACGCCATTTTAACAGTTATTATCTAGGAACAACAGCCATTGTGATAACGGCTGTGAAAATTCTGATCCTAAACCTCTGCTGCCTTGCGCCTATACAGTGGTACCTTGGGTTAAGTACTTAATTCGTTCTGGAGGTCTGTTCTTAACCTGAAACTGTTCTTAACCTGAAGAACCACTTTAGCTAATGGGGCCTCCTGCTGCCGCCGCGCTGCCGGAGCACGATTTCTGTTATCATCCTGAAGCAAAGCTCTTAACCCGATTATTTCTGGGTTAATGGAGTAATATTTCTGGGTTAATGGAGTCTGTAACCTGAAGTGTATGTAACCCAAGGTACCACTGTACTCAGTCATAAGCAAGGGTTCAGGAGTAAACCCTGAGGAAGAATCCCTACTCACTCCCTTGCAGGAAATCTTAGTTCTCCAGAAAAGGCTAAGGAGTAAACCCTACACGAATCCCGAGTCGAGTCCCTAAGACAGTTGGATGGCGTCTCCTTCTGGCAACTCCTGAAGCCAATTTGGTGCAAAATGTATTGCTCTACTTTCCTTTGGACCACATCAGCTAGGCCCAGAGGGAGGGCTTGTCGTCTGGGCAACACAAGACCTCCAGACACACTGCCCAGGCTTGTGCCCCAGAGAGGTCTATTCAGTGTTGCTAACGCAGCCAAAACAACGGGGGATGCAGCAGTCACAAGTTACCAGTCTCTGCAGCCCACAGTGCTGTGATTCTCCAACAGTGTGAACTTCTCCTCCGGAGGCACCCTCAACTGTCTGTTGAGACAGATGGGTGCCAGCATATACTTCTTCTTTTTTTAATTGAACACATCTCCAGTTTCCAGCCTAGTGGAGTTTGGCTGCCCTGCCTCTGTTGCCACTTCATTCTTTCTCCTTGGAACCACTCTCAAGCCAACCCTCCATACTCCCTGGTCTTGGACTATGTTTTATCCTGCTGACCCAGCTAAACCACCCGTCCAGTAGATTACCAGTTAATTCCTCTTGGACCAAATGATCCTGCAAACATACATTAAACCCAATCATGCAAGGTGTAGGTAAAAGGATAAACAGATCCTCAGGTCCTACGTGACCCTTTGAGTTAATGAACCACATTGCCAATGAGAGCTGCTAGACTGTGGTTTGTACAATGCAGCCTCTGCTTCTACATTCAGCATAATTTTAAAATAATTTCTGAATGGCTTGAAGAGGGCCAGAAATGGCACATACCGGATCCAAAATTCTTGGAAAGGGCCAAAAAACACATTCAAACATTGACGTTGTACCGGGGAAATATAAATATTACTAAACGGCTGTTGGTTTTCTTTCCCGCATGCCTGTCAACGAACACGATATACTTTTCACTATTAATTAATTAATGTGATGCAGATGGGCAGCAACTTTCTTTGCTACTGCGGATCTTTAGACATGACTTATCCAGTTTGCAAGAAGTGTTTCCAGACACTATCAGGATAATTAACTGAAGTTTCCATTCCTTATAGGAGTTTCAACTAAAAAAAGAAGGTGAAGATCTTTCAGAGATTTATCAAACATGCCAGGAAAGAATCTAGAGAGTCTACAAAGAGTCATATATACTTCACATTGCTATGTAACTTCCCCATTAGTTTTCTCTTACAGGATTAGTGAAGTTCTTAATATCATGTAAGCAGTCCAAACAAAACACCAGAAAGTAATGGAAAGAAGCTACCAGCTATTTCCATTTTACAGCATGCGTGGCAGTTAATTCTCAAATAAGTGCTCTGAAAGACATAAATGAATTAAATAATTAAAGGTTCCCGTGAGCCACGGATGAAAGGCCCTGCTCTGATTATCTGAATGTATACTTGATTGGCTTTCTACCTTCTAAATCCAACTCTGCTAGAAGGTAGATACCACTGCATTGGGCATACTTGGATCATTCAAACATAACATTACATATCTCCAGAGGGGGCTGCATGTTGCATCATTGGCCTGAGTCAGTGCTCTGGGCCTGCCCATTTTCAATCAGGAGCCATGTCCTAAACGGCCTCGGTCCAGTATACCTGAAGGAGCGTCTCCACCCCCATCATTCTGCCCGGACACTGAGGTCCAGTGCCAAGGGCCTTCTGGCAGTTCCCTTGCTGTGAGAAGCCAAGTTACAGGGAACCAGGCAGAGAGCCTTCTAAGTAGTGGCACCCGCCCTGTGGAACGCCCTCCCACCAGATGTCAAAGAGACCAACAACTACCAGACTTTTAGAAGACATCTGAACGCAGCTCTGTTTAGGGAAGCTCTTAATGTTTAATAGACTACAGTGGTACCTTGGGTTGAGTACTTAATTCGTTCCGGAGGTCCGTTCTTAACCTGAAACTGTTCTTAACCTGAAGCACCACTTTAGCTAATGGGGCCGGAGCACGATTTCTGTTCTCATCCTGAAGCAAAGTTCTTAACCCAAGGTACTATTTCTGGGTTAGCAGAGTCTGTAACCTGAAGCATATGTAATCTGAAGCGTATGTAACCTGAGGTACCACTGTATTGTATTTTAATATTCTGTTGGAAGCCGGCCAGAGTAGCTGGGGAAACCCAGCCAGATGGGTGGGGTATAAATAATAAATTATTATTATATTATTATGTCCAGATCGCTGACTCATGTAGAAACCTGAGTGGCAGCCTTCTCTGAGGACAGGCGGTTCTTACTCTTACAATAAACTTTTCGGGTGGAAAAGAAAAGCATATTTCCAGGTGTACATTGGAAAAAAGACAGCCTTGCCTTTCAGCAGCTTGTGGAAAGCGCAGTGGCAATGCATGCAGTGGGCACAGCCATGGAGTTGCCCTCCCAACACTGCTTTACGGGACAGGAGTAGGATGGCAGCAAGATCGGGGACATACAATTGCACCAGTAGGACTAACAATCTGGTACTGCTGTTGGCACAGCTACGTGGCCCCAAGCTCACCATGGCCTTGCCCATTCCAGTCCAGGTTGGTCACAGAGATGCCAACATCAGAAAGGGTGGCTCTGGTGCTCTGCCCCATCACAAACTCTGATTTTGGGTGTGTGGTTAAATGGGACTGGATGCCCATAATGGCAAATGCTGTTTCCCACATCCCCACCAAGCACACTTTTGTCAGAGTCATCAGGAAGGGCTTCAGAACCTGAGCCAAGTTATTGTGCAGGTTCATAAGGGAATAGACAATTTGTAGTCCATTAATCATATCAATATGAGCCGATTAATTGATTTATCAATCTATTAAATTTGCATAAATCTTCAGACAGGGGGGAAAAACATTCTCCCTTTGTTCTGAGGGTTGCGGCATCCAAGGCCAAACTAGCTGTGTTGAGGATGCAGCTAAAGTTGCACATACTTTGATCCTTAGACGACACATTGCCACTTTTAGTACACATAGGAGGAAATGCCTCTTCGAAGATAGCATTTGCTACCTGCAGGTTTTTTTAAGTATAGTAATTAATATTAATTATCAAAAAATCACTTGAGATAAAATCTGCTTAAATCTGTTAATTGTGGAGGCACCTTTATATTCAAAATGTTTTTAATTGATTCATCTAACCCAGGGGTCTGCAACCTTTAAGACAAAAAGAGCCACTTGGACCCATTTCCGAAGGGAAAAAAACTGGGAGCCGCAAAACCATTGCGACATTTAAAGCATGCGCGCCGCTGCCCTCCGATCTGACAGCGGGCGGGAAGGTGACGTCGGGACGGTGCGTGACTAACGCACGCACCGCCCCCATGCGACGTCACAGCCAGTACAGCGCCCGCCACAGTGGGGAGTGTCAGGGCGTACAATGTGCCTCCTCCCCTCGCTAGTATCCGCCCCGGAGACGCGGCAAAGGTGTTAAAGAGCCACATGCGGCTCCGGAGCCGCGGGTTGCAGACCCCTGATCTAACCAATTAGCATCCTTACGTCAGCTGCTCTTGTGATGGAGAGGCCAGAGATATCATCAGCAAACACAACTCAAGGGAAAGCACACATACCAAAATCAACCACCAATAGGTTCTTCTAAAACTAATGAAATGAAAATACTTCCAACGATGTTTGGATGTTGATCACATCCAAAGGTCAAAAGAAAAATGTTGTTTACAAGCTGAACTGTATGTTCAGATCATGGTCCATAACAACACAATTAAAATATACCAGGGAATTACATTGGTTGATTACTGTAGGGATTTGGAAAAAGAAATAGAAAAAATAATAACAAACCAGCCAGTCTAGTGTTTGCAGACAGTATGAAACACAGATATCTTAAACTAGTGTTAACACAAAAGTTCTGTAATGCTTTCTTGGCAGCTAGCATACATTTAACTTCTGTGGAAGCATAAAAACAGAAGAATGAGGAAAAGAGAAGCTTAGCAAAGCTTTCTTCCAAAAATAAAAGAGAGAGGGAACTCCTCAAAACCGCAGTCAGCACAAAGCAGCTGGGAGTGCTAAAGCTGAACATTTCCAGTGCCATGTAGGCCTCGACTCTTGGTCTTATAGACTGTGTAAAAGCTTTTCCATTTTGTCTAACGCTCCTCTCAAATGTAAGACACCAATTTTCTCTGATTAGAGATGGCTGTTTGAGCTCTTCGTGTACAAGAGCCAAAAAAATCTATGGAGACCATAAAGTCTCTTCGTAAAAGTTATTATTATAGCAAACAACATTTGAAGTTTCCAACTAACTAATCAGCATTTTGGCAGGGATCTGAGTGAATAGCAATAAACTAGAGCAGCGAGGGTTGTGACAGTATATTTTACTAGGGAGAAATGTGAACATACTTCCCGATCACAGATATTTGTACCCAAATAAATGGCTGAAATGTTGACATAACATCAACATTAATATCAACATGTGTCATTGGACTTGGACAATGATTGCAATCAAAGTTGCTGCTGCAGGAGAGGTGCTTTTTCTAGGTCTTAGGGCTTGGGAGAAAGTCATAGTCTACATAAGACGTATTTAGAGTTGATAGGCGTTCTAGCAGAAACTTGGGACGTAGTCATACAAAAATTT